GGGGGGCATGTGCAAGGGGCTCCCTTGCACACCCCACTATACCCACAAACCCACCCCCACAAACCGTACAACCACACTATTACCCACACACAATCACACACTCCACAAACTTTGCATCCTCCCCCACCCCCCATGAACCAGTGTAACTTGATGGCCCTGCTCAGGTTACACTGGTGCAAAGGAGAAGCAAATAAGACCCTCGCATCTTGTCAACTCCAGGATGTTGAATGTTTGGGAGGAATTTAAAAAAAATGGTTGTTGCCTATTGAAATTATACTCTGGTTTTCATGGTTCTCTTGTAAATCGAAGTGTACAGGACTGATCATTTCAATGGGACACACTGGGTTGTGAATGCTATCATCTTGTGTTTGTTCTTGATAGCACCGCACAATTTGGAATTGGCTCTCAGATTATCACCATGAAGACCTGCTTCCTGCTTTCTGGCAGTGTGGCTTTTTGTTAGTAAGTGTCAAGGAAACAGACTTGCCCCCCTCCAAATTTAGAAGGAAAGACCATTCTCTGAGGGACAAAAGAGGAATGGATGCTCTCGTGAGAGAGGAAATACACACAGTAGGTATTTATGTAAACTGTACACGATTGCATGATTTAATGTAGTGAAAATTAACACGGTGAGTGCCAAGCCCTTTTTTTAAAAGCACCATTATGTGGTTAAAAGTGAATGCACGTGGATGTTCACTTTTGCAGAGTGCATTATAACATTAATGGAATTTAGTAACTATACTGTTACCTCAGGACAGTAGCAGAAGAGCATGGTGCTGTTACATACACTAAACCACCTTCTTGTATTAGCACAGTTTGGAGAGACGGACGCTTTCGTTTTTCTTAGAAAATACCTGCCAAGATGTGTTTTTATTAAACGCTGCATTTCATACATGACCAGTATAGGACATAATTATATATAGATCTTGTTTCCTAGAGTCAAACGGGGCACCTTAAACCCATCTGTCTGGATGCTGTACCTATCCTAGTGTCTCCCCTTGCTTCCAGTGGCTTGCTGAGGTCCAGGATGCAGGGATTTACCACTGTCATAAGCAGCAGGTATCTTAAACGGACAATATGCTCAAGTATTTCAGTTGTAGAAAGCAAAACAATGTCAGTGGTGTTCCCAGAACATGTAATGCCGTAGAAAAACAGATTAAATAGGCTACATGTGTAGCTGTACTCCCTGTGATTTTTCTTTTTTCCCCCTATGGGGTACAGGTTGTATTTCATATGTGAAGAGACTGGTGTTTAAAGCTTCTGCTCTTAATGCAACAAAGAAGGGTGTTAGGGTGGGTTTTTTTCTTCTTTTTTTTAGTTCAGTCTCTATAAGAGTAAATTAATGAAAGCTTTATTTCTGGTATAACAGCAAGAGCCTTAAACTGTTTGCTTGGTGGCATCTTTAGTCACTTTCCAGAACATGTTCTTGTGGACCCTCAGATTAAAAAGCTGCTTGGCCTCAAATCTGAGTGGCTCTTGTTACAGCTTGCGTATCATCACTCAGGACTCCGCTATTTGGGATCTAACTAACATTCCTCTTGAGCGGACGTGTGCCAAAATAGAGCCTCTCCCCCACAGCTGTAATGACTCTGGGGATTGGCAGGAATAAAGTTAAATTCCCTAAGGTAGCACATATGACTATATACAGGGCTAATGAAGAAAAATGTGCCATTTTTTTTAACATAGCTTCGTGCAAAGGAACTGATAAGAGTAGACACTTCATTGAAGAGATGAAGGATAGCTGAAATTGTTACTGACAGTACGAGGTGTAATCTAAAGAAAAATACCTGTGCGTGGAACGTCTTTAAGTTTAAACCGACCTACTGGCATAAGTCAAAGCAACTTCTATTGCAACTCAAAAAGGCATTTGCAGAAATGCAGATGTTGAGTATTAGGTCTTCCCTGCCATGCTTGTTTGATGTTCTACTTCTTGGCCAAAATATGGAGTCTGAGTTGCATGTAGTTCAGGCTCAGACACAGCCCTATTCAAAATAATAGGGAAGTAACTGCATTCCTTGAACTAAGAGCACATCCGTTCTGATGCTTGTGAGGTCTTGCAAGTGGAATGCATGTGGCCTAAAAGCTAATATGCCTTTCACACAGGCTTTTCTTGTCAAAAATGATAAGTCTATTGGCTGTGGCTGCTGCAGGGGTATTACTGGCTTCCAATCCTCTCCAGGCATCAAGAAAACTGAACTCTTCTAACCTAAGTTGTAAAGAGCATGAAGATGTCATGAGTTTCTTGGGCTCTCTCTAGGGGTTTCTGCTATATAGCAAAGTGCACTATTCTGTCTGCACACTTGGGAGGCTTACTCCAAGGATGGACTTCTAGTAGAGGCCAAGGCTTCTGACTCTTGTAAATAATTGTATCAGTGCAGTCTGCAAAAGGGTTGGGGGCAAAAGGATTAAGTACTCCACATCAGCAATGCGAGTCCCGCTGCATGCTTCTGTCTGGCTAGAATGAGGACTGATCACCATTGTGCTGCAGCTTGTTTCCTGTCATGGAGACTCACTCAAGTGATATACCCAACTGCACTGCTCCGTTGATCCACCTGTGTGCTCTCAGGCTGTGCCTAGCCAAGTTCTTCTTTAGCTAATTGAATGATCAAACCACTTGGCCCATGCAGCGGCTTGCTGTTCTTTCAAAATCACTTTCCCAGTTCAGTAGCAACAGTTAAGCATTTCACCTGCTTCAAGCAGGCTTGGTGTTCCAGGTTAAATTTGTGCCTTGTGGCCCCTGCCCAGACAAAGCAAGTTCAGAAATCCAAAGCTCCACCTCGCTCTTACAGGGAGTGCTCTAATTGGATCTGAAAGCTGGCATGACTAGTGACAGCATGGTCTGTGACCCTGCTTTACATGTCGTAAGCCATTGATGGCACTACACCTAGTCATCAGAATAGATGGACAGATGTGCAATGGAAGCCTAAGTAGTTTGGTAATGTTTCAGCTTTATTTCACCTAGTTTTCCCTCCCAACATGTGCAGACAGAAAGACAAGCTGCTGCCCCCTCCCTCCCCCCCCCAGTAACTTCAGGGTAAGCCAGTCACTTTGGCATGCAGCTCATTTTTGAACAGGAGTTCTTGTTTTAAAGCTTTTTAGCTGGAAAAAAACAAGATAGCTTGTGGTCTGTTCTATTTGTGATAGAATGTTATTGGACTAAAGCTGTGGTAGCACCAGTGGAAGCTGAGGAATTACCGCAGCTTGCCTCTGCTTTCTTGGGCTGGGTATGCAACTTAACTGTAGACCATAGCCTCTCTTAAAATGACTATCCCATCTTACTCCCTGTTTTCACTTAATAGCTCATGCTATGGAAGAGACAGAAGAGTGTGAAACTGTTTTAGAGTACACAATGGCAGCCCAAATACCTTCATTGCATGCATAATACCTGCTTTATTGTAAAGAAACTAAGGAGTACTAAAGACAAAAGCAGACACTGATGTGAAGCCACCTGGAGAGGACACTAGCCCCCATGCAATGGTCTTATTTAACTGAATTTAAGGAATGGATTCTATGTTTACCTCACTGTAAAGTTGTTGCCTTTCCACGGAGATGAAAGGATGCTGCATGAAGCAATCCAGATGCTTGATTTGGTTCCCCTGACATTCAACCCTCTAAGGTAGGCTTCACATCAGTATAAATACTGTCCCTCTTTGGACCCTTACCTTTCTAGGATGTGAATGGTAAAAATGTGAATATTTGTTGTTTACTTCACTAGACATAATTCAAAATGATGTGTTTATATGCAGAATCTCAATCAGACTGAAGCAAAACCATATGCAATTGGTTTACTTTATAATAAACTGTATATGATGTACAAACTAATAAACATTTAAATGAGGAGAGACTGGCTCTTGTTCTTGCACAAACAGATGAATATGGTGCTCCAACCACAGCACGTTTCAGAGTTGGACTCAGCATTGTTTTTGGACTAGTTAGTCATGCTGTTACTTTGCTCAAGGGAGAAGGGTTTTCAGCATGCTCCCACCATCTCTTGCAAGGCTTGTCCTGGGGTAGATGTCATTAAGGAAAAGACTGTCCCTCAAAGATTAAAGATGTGGACAAGTTACTTGGCTAGAAAAGGCCCAGCTGAACAGGAAGTGATCAGCTTTAATGTGGAGCTCCCACTGTGAAGCATGGGAGAGATAGGCAGCTTGTTTTCTGCTCCAGTTGAGGGAAGACTACCTGTGTTCCCCTCTGAAGCTTAGTAAGCAATTGCTAGTTACCTATTCTCTTATTGGAAGCAGCAGGCCAGCTGAAAGGCTTGTGGTTTGCCAGTAAAGTCACCAGATCACAGCATCTGACATCTGCCCTGAAGCTTCCCTTGGTTTTAATTTAGACAGTCTGAGAGGGGAAGCAAACGATATTTCCCTATGCATGGAGCAGTGTCTGGGGAGCAGCACTGCATGCATGCACAGCCACTATCCATTGAGAGGGCAGGGGCCATGGGGCAACAGCTCCTGTACTGTTTCCAACCCTGGAAGTACGTGTCAAAAACACAGTAAACATATATAAATTAATATGGGGTTTATTTCAAGACGTTTTACAGTTCATGGGACATGAGCATAAGCTGCTGTTCTGACCTGAATCTATTAGTTTGGCCAAGTGTTACAGTAGGCCAATGACAGTAAGTATCCATTGCATGACAGGCAAGCTGTTTGACTTTTCACATAAGCAGAAACAAGCTTCAACTGTCAGACACGTTTAATAACTGAAAACATTTAAACAGCCAGTTTGAAAAATGTTTAGTGTGAACACAGGCAAAGTTATGCAAAGTTATAGTGCCACTATTTACCTCCTAAGCTATGACATGTTAGCTTCATGTGCTGCCACCTAACCTTAACATTCAAGAGAATTAGACTTTGAATCCAAAGTAGGAAAATCAGTCTTGCATGAAGTACAATAAAATACTTCAGGTGTGATTTTAGTTTCTATAAGATCATGAGTTAGAGATGGAAGAGACCTATTAGTTTATTCCATCCCCCTCCCAGGGCAGGATTGTTCCCTACAGTTTATGTAAACTGGACAAATAGTGCTTTGTCCAGTCCACTCTTGGATGTCTGGTGTGAAAGTGGCAGATGCCATATCACAGCAAGACTGAAAAGATTTAATGACTTGGAAGCTTTTCCTAATGCTTCGCTTAAATTCCCTCTTATGTGATTTTACACATACCACTTGCCTTTAATGTACTTTCAGCTTAGGCTGGATATATATGGGTCCTTCTCCTGCCAACGAACCTATGGATGGACTCTTTCCTATTAGCAGTTTGAAGGTGGGGAGGCCACATGTGGCAAGTCATGTGGATGCAATAGTTTGACCTTACATAATGAAGGCTCTTGAACTCCCCTGTCTCTCTTCCTTATCCTTGTTGACCAAAACCACCAAGAACTCTACTCCCATCCTTGCTACCCATTGCTGGGTTTTAGTGGTTTTAACCTAGTTATCTGCTACCTAGGACACAATGTTCCAGCAGCCTATGGAAGGGACTGTCCCAGGTTCAACTTGCTTTGCTTCAGAGTATTAAAAGTAGCCCTAAGCTTTGGTCCACTACTGTCAAAATACTTTCATAGAATGATCTAAGGATTGTGGTTCTTAGGGAAATTACAAAATGGACCATAAAAAATAATCCTCTGAGAAAAGAAAAGCTGTATCTCTACCAAAAAAATGTACATTAAAAAAGTCTTTCAGCTCTTCAGTTACCAAATCATAGTTGGCCTACTGGAAAAGGATCAGAAATAGGTGTTTAGGTGCTTAATTTTTCTTTACAGTCAATCAGGTCATTAATTTCCTCCCTGAGGGCCAATAAATTGTGTCTCAATGGAGACACATCACTCAAGTTTGCAGAAGGGCTTACTTTAGTACAGGTAGAATTATTTCTCTACAATTTCATAAATGTTACACAAGTTACTTTGTCTTTAAAAAAAAGGCAACTGCACTACTAGAGCATTTAGATAATAGTGCAGGAATTAAAGGCAGAGCCTCGTTTGTTACTGCTTTGAGTAGGCACTAGCTTTCCTTTGCCATAGTAACCTGTGAATATAGCTTTCACTTCAATCTTTTTAGAAAGCAGGAGCATCCACATGCCATTGCCAAAGTACTGCAGTTTCCCTCCTCCAATTTCCCCAACTTCATCACCTTTGTTCCCTGCCTTTTCCATCTTGACAAATTCCAGGAGGTCAAGGCCAGTCTGAACTGCTTCTATGCCACTGGCACATCCAAGGGTAACGTGAGCTCGGCTGCCTTTGGGCAGGTTGTCTGTGGGTTGTATCTTGTCAACATCACTTGGCCACAGCAACAGGTCTTGATCACTCAGATCCACACGAGCACCAGCAGTTTTTGTTGTGATGAACAGTGCAGAGATAGTCAGGGTAAAGGCTTTTCCATAGGCCGCCTTCACAGCCTGCAGAGAGAAAGGGAGCAAAGAGACTTGAATCTAGAACAAAATTTTGACCGCCTGTAAAAACAGGCATTCAGCTTGCAAGTCTATGCAAACCACAGACATCTTCATCTTGTAGCTCTCTACTGCTTTCAGTATTTAATCTCCAGAAAAGAATTTGCATATTTCATTTACACAGCAATGCCTACAAAAAGCTTAATATATACTCAGATCTTTCCATTCTCCAGAAACAACCTGGCTACATGTAATTTTCCACCCCACCTTTCAGTCAACTTAATTCCTGCATTTAACTGGACCCTCAGGTTAATCAACTACTGAAAGGTGCAAATGCCTTAAGTAACTCGGGATCAATTAAAACCAACCCTCCTACATCCGAGAAAGCCATGAGAAGCTCTAGCTAGATTGGAGGCAAGCTGAAAACATCAGACATCTCCTCACTGTCATTTTTTTCAATCCCAATGAACACCACCCCCGTCTGCCTCCCTACAGCTCAAAGCCAGGTAAGCGCTCTTGTGATGCAAATGTACACTGTTGATACAGAAAGCTACTTGGCCTCTTCTGGCCTGAACCAAGGTAACCAGCCCACTTGAACATGATGCTGGGGGCAAGGGGAAGGGAGTAAAACCTAGCCAGACACTAACTTCTTGTTGTGCGTATTCTTCAGCTCCTGGAGCCTTCCCGAAGTCGGTGTACTTTGTAGTACAGTGCAAGACGCTTGGTGGCCTTTTCACGAAGTAGCTGGTTAGGTCTATTTTAAGTTTGGGATCTTCAATGGCAGGAGCAACTGTAAATATAGATGAGCAAAATTACTACTGAGAAATCAGGGTGTCCCCATTATGCCTCTTCATCCCTACGAACACTGGTTTAAGTTTGTTTAACATTTAATGCTGTTTAGTGCTAAAGATGGCTGGGCAGGAGAAGAAACTGAACTGGGTCACATGGCTAGCACAGAGCAGCAAGGCCACTTCTTTAGACCACCCACCCATCTTCCCTGACCATGACTCTGTGGGGGATACTTTAGGAGCAGGAAAATAATTTGATCTTTTTGGTTCTTGGCTGCTTTGCTGTTTTACTTGGGCCATCAGAGGAAACAACTGGGAATTACTTTGCTACTTCCTGCCTTAGCTGGATTCCAACCTGAGAGCTGTAGCCAAAAGACCCTATGTCCCACTGCCAGCACCTGGAACTGAGCTCCATGGGGCACACTGTCCAGAACTTTCCATTAAAAAAAAAAATCTGGGGTTTGCTTCCTTATATAATAACTTATATAAAATTACTTTGGCTTCTAGACATTATGTTGCCCAGTATCCTTATCAAGAAAGGTTGTGTTTCAACTTTCAAATGGAACTGGAGGTACTGTTTTGAAAGCAGAGTGGGTAAGTTTGCTTATTCCCTGTGTTTTGTTTCAGGTTTTTTTAAGTGGTGATTTGTTTTCCTTGTTAGAGTAAAAGCTTTAAGACACTTAAACATACAGTGTTTAGACTCCTTTTTGAATGCCTTGGAGCTTCCAAGCTCATCGAGAAAGGCCTGCCCAATCTTCCTCAAGTTCTCGGAAGTTTTTCTGTTCAAAAACCAACCAAAATACATGGGTAGGAATTCTTTCTCCAAGTTTGGCTTCATCTTTTTCAGGTCTTCCACAGACAGTTTCCATTGATTCTTTTCCTTCAGCTGCAAGCAATCCATTTTCCACTGCGTTTTGGGTTCAGCAAAGATGACTTTGTACCGGTACTTGTCAGCAATATCAAAGAGTTGATCCAGTCGCTCCCTTTCATGATGAGTGTCATCCACAACAACAACACTGATGTCTCGCTTGCAACAGTCAACTACATCCTCATCCATCTTTGAATAATCTTCAGGAATGGCGCTTCTTACTGCAGGTACAATCTTATAGCTATCAACAGAAATGATCCGGCAGGCATCCTTATATCTGTCTTGAATGGCTTGGGCAAGAGTGGATTTCCCACTGCCTGGTAGACCTCTTAGGATGACAAAGGTTTTAGATTCCTTGATTGTAGAAACAGTATCATCATCATCAAGGAATGGAAACTGCAAGCTTTCAGGCCTCTCTTTTGATGATTGAGTAGACATTTTCCTAAATATTTTAGGCAGGAATGTGTGACTCTTCTTTGTAAAGCCTTTGTTCTGAAATTAAAACAAAAAAAAATGTATGTTTTAAACATCCAAAGAAATACAGTCTTTCTGGTTGTGAACAATACATCAGTGTCCTAGTCCTTATTGGAAACCAGGGGGAGGAGGGGAGGGCTACTTAGAAAGGCAGAAGTGGTCCAGTGATGACTTTAAATGACACTATTATGTCATACATCTATGCCACCATTATTAGACCTCAGCTGCTTTATTCAGCTTACAATGCTCTGAACAATTAACAGAAACTTGTCCCTCAAAGCCTTTCTACTGGGCCCCACAGCGAGTCAAAAGTACTCCATCTCAACCGAGTAGAAAACTCAAAACTTAAAAGGTGCAAGTCAACTTCCTTTGCTTATTGTTCTGTGAATTGTGCCTTTTCCCTAAGTGCCCATAACTACACTCCTTAAATGCCAGGGAGAATAACATCACTGCAAGCTCCACAGTTCTGGAGGCTCAGTCTCTCCTCTCCCTGCCCCACGTACCAGTTAAGGGTCAAACTCAATTCGGTACATTTGAAAACAGAAGCTATTCATTTCCCAAAGTTAAACTTTTATAAAGACTACGCCAGCCTACGGAAACTTAAAAATAACTCAAAGAGAACCGAAAATCTTGTGCTGTTGTGCAACTGCTGATGTTGGGCAAACTGTTAAAAATCAAGCTGCAGAGGCTACAAACTAATTTGCTTCAAAGTGAATTTCTGTTTTACTCTTTTTATGCATTAGAAGCACTTACATCAAGCCTGCATCACTGCCTACATACGACTGATCACATTTGGCGCCGTGCACCTTGCAATTTGCCAATTCATGACCTTACACCATTCCCACCTGGCTTCCCAGGTATGTACCACATTTTGGTTGTAACATACTACATCAATCTTATCTACCATTGTATTTATTCCACCCATCCCAGGATGCTCTTGACCAGATTCCAAATGTTCTGATGTACTCTGATGCTTTCCACAAAACTTGAGACTTTCAGCTTTTAACTCTTACTGCTCTTGGCCTATCTTATGACTTACATTAGGGGTAGCTAACTTTCACAAATGACACGGGCAGCCTCCCAGTATGGCATGTGAGGGGCAGGCAGCACAGTGGCAGGTACGGCAGGGAGCGTAAAACAGAGCAGCAGATAGGTCAGGGGACTGAAGTGACATGAGGATGGTGTAGGGCTTTATTTATGGTACGCTTACCAAAAGGATTGGTTCCCATTGGCCTACCCTGTAATGACAGGCACCTTCAAAATGCCTTGGAGGTGAGAAGTCTAGCAGGAATAATTCCTTGCAGTGTAGTACTTTTATCAGACATGTACAGGTCTAGGACTGACTTTTGAGTTTTTCTTTTCCCTTCTCAAACTAATAAAGTTGCTTAGAGTCTACAGCAGCAAGGCTACAGGAAGGACCTTAGAAGGCAGCAGCATATCTGTCAGTGCTTTGCTCTGAGAGCCAAATACACAACGGAGTGGGGTCACTCAAGGCACATGATGCTCTTTCAAATATAATTGTAACACAGGTCGGGAGAACTAGAAATCCTAAGATGTCATTTGGGCAGGGTTCAATCCAGGAACTGCTGTGATACCAGGGTAATTCAGCATCATGCTATCACACTAGTTTCCTTATCAGTATACTTACGATGGAGGGTGACCTCCTAAATGGCTAAGCAGAAGCTGAGATTTGAATGAAGAAATTTTTTTTTAAAAGCCCATGACTTGAAGATGCATATTTTCAGTTGCAGAGCAGGGGCAGGGACTTCTGAAAATGGAAAGAATTGCTTTTCAGCTTCCTTCTCCAGTTAACAAGGTAGCCAATTTCCCTGGCAAAAATCTGTGTGCAGCTGGAGCAATAGCTTGGCTTACCAGAATACAACTTATTTATTTCTACAACTAGTTGCTCGTATTGGCCAGTAAAAGTGTTGAATCTTAGGAAAGTGAGTGATCTGCACTATTGACGGAAAGCGATCAAAAGCCTTCTCCCACTAAGGACACTTAGTCTGTAAAAGGGAACAGTAGGACTGGGGAAGAAGCACCTCCATTATGCATGTGAGATGTGATTACATCTCCCCATCTTTCCTCCTCCTTTTTGCTTGTAAGCATTTTGAAGTAAGAACGGTCTTCCAGTATACCCAGTTTAACATGGTGGGTTAAGCTCTGCTTACACTCTTGAAACCCAGAAATGCAACCCCCTGCAGTCACTCTCAAGACCTTGGTCTCCGAGCTGCTTAAGAATGGCTCCTAGAGTGACCCCAGATTGGTCTCGCTGGCACATTGCCAGGTGCTACTAGCACACAAGTCTTCTGCAGCTGGCCACTGCCACAACTGAACTGAACTTTTCAGATAGGAAAAGCTTAGCAGGTGTTTGTACTGGCAGCTTGTACGTATAATCCTTAGCACCAAGCATAGCATGCTCACAATGGAAGATCGCCTTCTGGCTGGTTTTCAGGAACAATCCAATCTAACTGAGAGACTGACAGAGCCAACTTTTACCCTCCCACCCCCACAACCTTCTCCCCTCAGTGGCTGCATGCCACTCTCCTTCAGAGAGCTTGGCATCTCAGTTCTTCTGCCAGGCCCCTTACTCATCCAGCATTCAAGTCCCTTAAGAGTCATTTCAGCCCCATGACTCACAACAACTAAAAACATCCTTATTTATTGCTTCCCTCCCCTTAATCAGCCTACTTCTTCATCTGAGACAGGGATCCATCCCTTCTTCAATGTCTGGAAAGCACTTAAGCTCACTGCTGGAGTCCACAGCAAACAAAACAGTAAGTCCCAATGCTTCAAATAAGTCTTACAGCAATTCAGTTCTTCCTGCGTGCTGTGCACTGCTCCTCTACCAGCCTGAGCAGTGAAGGTTGTCTAATCGGTTACATTAGTGCTGGCTCGCAAGAATTAAACTGCAAGGCATGCGTGGGCGCAAGGCTTTTGCTGCCTATTTTTAGAAACAAAACAGGACGGCAAAACTTCTTAGTTTGGTTTAGTTTCAGCTTCATTTGTGATCCTGTGAACTAGTCAAAGAGAAGCAGCTGGTTGGCAAATGCTCCAGAACACCATTTGTCGAGAGGGAGAGGGAGCGAGCAGATTTTGAGGGGCATCATTTTTAAACCTTGTAGGAGGCTTCTGTTAATCTGAGCAGGGGCTGCAAAAACGTTAGCGTATCATGTAAAAGATCAGACAGACTCAAGAGAAACCAGCTACAGAGCTGTTAAACATTTTCCAGCACTAACTTTTAGAGTTTGTTGGCTAGGTAGCCCTTTTTATCCTGTGAGATTTACTTGGCACATGCAGCCAGTCAAAACTGTACTGCGCTTCTCACCAGCAACCGGCACGATTTAAGTACTTTGCACATGTGGCCGGTCTGAATTAGTCACACAGATCGCTTGAATCATGTAATACATTTTCACCAGACACATGTGCAAGGCGATTACTTGCACCGGTCACTGATGACACGCACAGTAAATTCCTGTGCGCACGTGGCCCTTTTAAACTTTATTTGCCAGTGACCAGTGCAATGGATGACTTGACACATGTGGCCCATCTAAATGAATCGCACCGGTCACCGGTGCATCACGCAGTGACGTTTCGACTGGCCACCAACACAGAGTCACGAATCGCAAGGGTCACAGGGGATGGTCACAATAAAGTTTCGACTAGCCACCAGCGTCGAGTCATTTCTCACACGGTGCAAAGGGTCACCCGGGCTGTGTGGTGGGTGGAAAGATTTGTCTCGCAGCTCACCAGGGCACAGCGCAAGGACGGGCCGAGCCCTCCTGTGGCCCCTGCTCTACATTACATACATGCTGCAAGTCGACGGGGCAACCACGGCGTGGGCGTGTGGAGTCGCCCACCCCCTCGCTCCCAGGTGAATCGGGCCAGACTCCTTGGCAGAGGTGGGCAGACATGGAAACTTTTATGGCGCGGGTCACCAGTGGCCGGGGCATCGTGCCATGGACGTAACGTCGGCCGATGGGCTGCCCCTGCGCCTTTAAGGCCAGGACGACGACCGAGCGCCCATTGTCCGCGCACAAGGCGCGGGGCGACCCCGGCCAGGAGCGCCCCCCGC